TGATAATGAAATAGAAGACTTCAGAGAAAATAATAGGAAGGATAAATACACTTTTTAAAATTGTTGTTGTTCTTTGAAAAAACAACATAAAAATTTTAAGAAATGGCTGGGCACAGTGTTACACATCTTTAATTCTTTAATTCCAGTAACTGAGGCAGGAGGTCACAAGTTCAAAGCCTGTCTTAACAACAAAATCCTCAGTAACTTAGCAAGTCTTTGTTTCAAAAAAAAAAATTATTTTAAAGTATTTTCTTAGTTGTTGATGGACCTTTATTTTATTCATCTATTTACATGTGGTGCTGAGAATCAAACCTAGAGCCTCACACATTTGAGGCAAGCATTGTACCACTGAGGCACAACTCCAGGCCTGTGCAAAGAAAATATTTTAAAAGGACTAGGGATGTAGCCTAGTGGTAAAGAACCCCTGGCTTCAATCCCTGTTTTTGAGAAATGCATCAAAACAGCTGCACTAAAGTCACATACTTTCAGAAACCTAGGTATACAAAGCCTAGGTAAAATTTCTGCCCATTTTCAGAGTAAATGCTTTAAAATGAGCTATTTTAGAGTCATCAGACTACTTTTATCTACAGCAGGGTTTTGTGCTTTTTAAAATTTTATTTTTTTAAATATTTATTTTTTAGTTGAACACAATACCTTTGTTTATTTTTATGTGGTGCTGAGGATAGAATCCAGGGCCTTGAATGTACTAGGCAAGTGGTCTACCACTGAGCCACAACACCAGCCCCTGTTTTTTTATTTTATTTTATTTTTATTAGTACTTTTTTATGTTATATCTTTGGAAAAATACTTCTTAAYTGCTATTTGTTTGATTTGTTATCTGTGTCTTTAAACACATATTATAAATGTAAACAATATTAACTCACATGAAGATTAAAAGTATAATTATATTTTGATTCAGAAGACAAAAATTTTTAAATTTTTAAATTTGGCATTGTTACATCAAAAGTAAAACTGCTTCAAAGAACAACTATATTTATATTTCCTACTATAGTAGAACAACATATTCACTTTTACAGTGAAAATACCCACTGGCATCTTAGAAATTATTACTTTTCCAGTCAGAAACATGGTTGTACAGCAAGCTCACTGGCCAAACCAAAAAGGGAAGGAAATAAAAAATAGTCTCCAAGCTGACAGAATATGAGTTAAGAATTATTATTTATTAAAAAGTTCTTATATGATTTATATTTCAGGAATTAAAATTTATACATGAATCCAACAAGTTTGGGCTGTTATTCCAAAGTCACAGCATATTAGAAAAGGAATGAAGATGATGATGATAGCAACTATAATTTTTTAAAGCATTCATTAAACATTATACATTGGGGTGGGAGCCAGGAGTAGAAGGAGTATCTGTACTAGGTAACTATAGTGAAAGCTGTACAAATGACTTGACTCCATGATTAAGAATCTATAAAATTTATGTCCCAAGACTATCACTGTGCTACAATGCAGAACAAAAATTAATGTTCAACAAGACCTCAAAATAATACAAAAATTAACATCACATACTTTATTTTTTAACATAAGGAACATTATCAACAGAATCTAAAGACCTGGATTTAAATCCAGTCTTTAGCTTCACCATTTTTATTAATGATGTCAGGCAAATATTAATCTGCCTCACATTCATTTTCTCTAAATATGAAATGAAATATTTATTTACCTTAGAGTGCTATGTTTAGAATCAACAAATGTAAAAGCATGCTGGTATGATACTCATGAATATAGTAGTTACTGAAATACTCTAAAAATTTGGATATCCAGAATAATTATTTCTTTGATATGAACAGTTTTTTCACTTTTTAAGTCTTATTATTTTTCAGATGCTTAGATGTTACTCTAGTTAGTAAATATGCAAAACCATAAAAATGCAGAGATTCACTTAAGTATTATAGCAAATGCTCCTGAATTCCATTACTAACTACCTCTTTTGCTGAGTAAATGCAATTCATTCTTTAATCCCAATTTAGGTTGTTATCTCCTCTGTAGAACCTTCCTATATTTCCAATTGCACATAGACATTTCAAATCTACCATATCCAAACCTGAAGTCCTGTTTCTCCATCCCCATTCCAAATATGTTCCACCTGAAAATCCAACTTCATCTTTTAATTGCTAAGCCAAAACCTTATTCATCCTTTCTTCCTTTTCCTCTCACATCTACTCCATCAAGAACTATTTTGTTTTACCTTAAAAACATCCAGTTATTGATTGATTGATTGATTGTACAAAGTGACCTACCACTGAGCTACATCCCCAACCATTTAAAAAAAATTTTTTTTTTTTTTTAATTTAAGACATGGTCTCACTAAGTTGCTGAGGCTGGCCTTGAACTTGTGATCCTCCTGCCTGAGGCCTCCCCAGTTGGTGGGATTGCAGGTTTTGAGTCACTGTGCCCAGATAAATCATCCAGATTTTACTTCTCCCTAGCCACTATCTTCTCTCATTTAGATTATCATAAGAACCTTTTAACTGGTGGGCCTTGCCACAATACAGTCTATTCCCAGCATAGCAACAGAAGTGATCCTATGTGTCAGTTCAATTAAAAATATAATCCAGATCTACAGAAAGCCATGTAAGGCTTCAGTGGTCTCTAAGGTCCTCCCTTGTACTCTCCCTTCTCCCTAACTCTACTTTCCATCACAATGGCCTCCATTCATTTTAGAGCACATACCAGTCAGGCTCCTGCCTCATGCTCTCTGCCTTGAAGACTCCTCCTAAGGGCATCTACACAGCTAACTTCTTTGATCTTTGCTCAATATCACTTTATTTATTGTTTACTTCTAAGTCTACTATACATTCCACAAAGGTAGAGACCTTTGAACGTTTTATTTACTGATATTTTTCCATATACATAGAACAGCACACAAAAATGCGAATTAAGTATGTAAATAAAACAATACATTTGTGCCACTTTAGTATTTTGTGCTTACCTCTCTTGTATAGTTATCACATTATACTGTAAAGAGCCTGTTAATTTTCTGCCCCTTCGACCATTGTGTTTTGCTTTCTATTGTTATCACCTATACTTCCTTACAGGCCCAAACACTTTGGAAATACTCAGCAACATTTGATAAATTAATAAAAAATAAAACCAACTAGATCAAAGATTTAAGCACCTTTACTATCTCCATAATCTAAACACAATGCTTAAATGTATGACACTGGAGACTGAGTTCTGGATTCTAGATTCTGTTAGTGATTTTAGTCTGACTCTGGCACTTACTGGCTAAAGGACCTTGATTGTATTATTTAAATTCTCTAAAACAATTCCTTATCAATTAAAATAGAATAAAAGTACATGCACATGACATAATTATCATCAATATTAAATGATGATAGCGGGGACTGGGGTTGTGGCTCAGTGGAAGAGGCAAGCACCTAGCATGTGTGAGGAGGCACTGGATTTGATTCTCAGTATCACTTATAAATAAATAAAATAAAGGTCCATTAATGACAAAAAAATTTTAAAAATGATGATAGAATTAGCCCAGATGTTTGCACATAGTATGCATTTAATACACGACATCTATTACTTGTTATTACAAAAATAGGTTACTTAAGTTAGTAAATTTGTAAAGCAAAGATAATGTGAAGATTATCATTTAAATTCTGTTTGATAACTAAGTTTGAATATTCACTAAACACAATATTTAGAATCTCCTTAGGATATAACAAGAATTTATATTAAAAATTACTGAGTCACCAAAAATAAACTTGATAAGCATTTTACAGAATACCTTAATTTTCAATAAAGAGGAATTCTATTTACATAATCCCAGAATATTTTTGAATATTTTAAGATGTTAGGCTCTATAATATTCTTCAGTAACTACCTTCAAATTTTAAAAAATTTTAAATGATTTCTCTTATATAACCAAAATACTCAACACTAGATATTAAAAATTAAATATGGTACTATTTAGGTCACCTATACATATAGGCCTATAATATACACATATATTCTTCCTTCTACTCTGAACAATCTCATTTTAAAAAGTAAGACTTTTGAGAAAAAGTTAAATAAATTCTAACTTTTACTAAATTATCTCCAAGCTTGCCATTTCTCATTTTAGTCATGTGTCCAATTATATGTACATTATTTAGGTAATGTTATATTGATGTTGGAACAACACTGGGAGTTCAGTTCAATTTAAAAGGCTAATGTAATAGTGTTTATTTTAAAGCTCTAAAAATTTTCTGTTATTTCTGTCTACTGTGGCTCTTAATGTCTTCCTATCTGCAGAGTCACTTATCTATTTTATAAAATACTTGTGAATTTGTTTTCTTTATAGTTTGTACTACCACCAGGAAATAGACATGCAAAATTTTACCTAATCACTCATATGGTAGTGGACAAGAAAACTGAGGTAAGCAATTTAAATGATTGTCCCAAGACTACAGATGGAGTGACTGCCAGCTTTAGGATTAAAGCTAAGAAGCTCATTATTCCCTTCTTAAATTTTGAATACTGAACATTGTTTTTAAGTCATGATGATCTCTTAACTAAGAACAACAATTTAATATAATAAAATTATTATCAACACAATATATGTAAACAGAATTATGAAATTTATTAAATAATAAAATTACTTTATCCCAGTAGTCACTGAAAAAAATTAATCTAATTTACTCCATAAGTTATTTTTAAAATTTTGCTTAGAGTGCCAAGAAAGTAGCAGCTTAATATATTTTATCATTCTAATGTCTTTAAATATAGCTAACTTCTTTAACCAAAATCTACAATAAGTATATGAGATGGTTGGATTTAAGATATCAAACAGAAATACTTTTGCATTTTTTTAAAAAAACCCTACAAACTTAAAAACCAGTTGTTTCTACTCTTATTATAAACTTCAACTTCAAGATATATTTGTAAGAGATCTATCAATGAAAAGACAATGATAAAAAGTAAAGCAAACATCAAATACTCTTGCATTCACAGGAGAAAAAGACAGTATAACATTAGCAGCTTACTGTGGAGAGTGGGTTTAATCAGGAAGTAGCCATTATCCTTTCGATTCAGAGCAGTGACAGCACTCCAAAACAACAAGCCGTGATATTCTTTCAGTTAAAAGGCATGAAAGAATACCTGCTATTGTGTCCTAGCTTTGCTGACCCCAAAGGTCACCATATGTCTTTTATCAAAAGCTATAATGAAAACATAATCCAAGCAAGCATTTAGTATGCTCTATTTCTTGAAACACCTAAAATCTACCTAACACAACCTCTCTCTCTCAGTTACTCACAAAACATGGCTGTCTTATTCAGAGATTAGCAATTATTGTAATGAGATACTGTCGGAGAGGGTCAAATAGTACTTCCTGCAGTTTACACATCTTGATTTCCTGGTAAACAAACTGAAAGGCAGGTGGAGCACTTAGATCACCAGTAAACGTGAAGGCTCACGTGACAAAACTAAGGCAGGTAAAGCTGACGTCTCAAGTAATCGGTTCTTTTCTTAATTTTATTATCAAAACCAACAATGAGAAGAATTTTGTTACTTCCTTTTTAAAAGGGAGTTCATTCTTGACGTGAAATAACTCACAGTTTAAAATAAAAAATGCTTGAAAACTGAGATGGTTTAAGCAGCTTTCAAAAATTAGTTTTAGTAAATAAGCTGTAAAAAACGAGACAAATGCTAACAAATTGCTTTAAAARCAAATAAGGATTTAAAAAAAAAACCCTAAGGAAAAGTCTTTAAATTTTAACTCCTTCAAGAAAATAAATAAAAGAAATTTCTGAGTCTTAATAAAAGACCAAAATTAAAATTCTTTGCCAAAGCACACCTCCAAAATACTACTTTAAAATTTATGTAGCAGTCTTTGAAAAAAACTCAATCGTATGAATCAAAAAGTTTACATAACTTGAAGCTATTCCTTATATCATTTTAAACTTGAATTTCAAAAAAGAAAAAAAAACTGGTCAACTGTGAGCACTTAAAAAAAATTGTTAGCTTGAAAACTAAGTTTCCTTGTCCTTAGTTTTTCCTCCCTAAACTGCTCTTCTTTTTGCTCCCTAAATTTCTAATATAGTTCAATGAAGGTTGATTTAAATTAATTATAGGTATAAGACAAATAAAAACCTATGATAAACTAAGTCAGTACTTTTAAAATATGTAGGAGTTTTAAAAAAATCTGTAAAAATTGCATTTCTTAAAAATTCTATGTTTACGCACACTACACCTTTGTTTTATTATGAACATAGTATGTTTTCATCGTAATGCAAAGAGCTCTCAAGACTTTTTTAACAATATAATCTTATCAAAACATTAAAATTATATTGCTTAGATTAGGTTTATAATAATTCAGTTTGGAAAATAAAGTTAATGCACTAAAATAGAAAATACAACAAAACAGAATAATAATAAAATCAACAACAAAAAGAACACCCAAGCAGATAAGACTGTGCCAAGGGGTACAGAATCTCTCATCACAAATACCTAATTTTTCATTTCAGAAGTATACCTTCAGTATTAAATCACTGTAACACAAGTCACTAACAATCACTAATCACCACCTTTACTAAAAATGACATGTGAATGAGGGAATTTTCGGAAAACTATGATTAAGGCATTAACAGTTTCAGCTGAATTTCCTGGTCAAATTAAATAACTTCTATGTTCTACAGCCACTTGGAATGCAAAAACACAATTCTTATTTCTACTATAGAAAATTTAAATTGTATTTCCTATGATATTGGTAGGTTTGATTGTGTAATTCGTTTGCCTAAACAAAACAAAAATTTAAATTAGAAAATTATTACTTTGTTTTAAAAAATCCATGATTATCTTAATTTCCCATAAAGGGCCAAAATTTAGAGAATGATGAAGAAAAATGTAGAAAGGAAGAGAAAATAAATTTGATATTTTATTTTATTCAAGGTGGCATTTATCAAGGGTTGGTGAGTTTGGATATTAAGAATTTATAGATAAGACAAAAGGGGAGAGAAGTATATATGGCATCCTATGAGTTATGAAAAGACTCCCTCTCTGAGCTGACAAATGAGAAAAGGGAACTCCTACCCCCACCCCATCTCCTTAGGGTATTTCAGCCAAGCACTCTTTTTAGAGCATTTTCAGCACAACTAACTGTACCTAATGATTCTATAAAGGCAAAAGATTCAGAAAATATTCTTCTGCTCCCTGGCAAGTCCAAAAACAGGACAGATAACTCAGTAACTTAAAAAAATAACTGCACCATGTCAGTTGCTACCATGTCAAATGAACACTATTAAAATTTAACAATGCTTCACTCTGATATTCATATGAGGTAAACAGGGAGTAGCAAATCAAATCTTCATTATAGTTGGCTGAGTCTCCTTTATCTCCCTAAATTGCTAAACTTGTGTATTCCCACCTCCCAGATTATTTTTATGTTGTTTCCTATTTCTTCCACCACACCTCATTATCAGGAGAGGTCTCATCACCTGCAGGACGTTGCTTTCACAGTATCTGACTATTTGGGCCCATAAAACTTTCTTTTTCTACGTGATTTATTTTACATTACTCTGTAATAATTTGGGGATCTCCTTAACTAGAACTTGGAAATTCTTCTTTTATATTACTCATTGTGAATAATAAAACACTCAGCATGTAGCAAACACTAAATTAACTTAATACAAGCTATTAATAAACTAACACACACACACACCAGCTCATGTTTGTTCAACATAGCCAAGGTGTTTATTAGGATTTCATTAAGTGAACCAGAAGGCCAATTTTTACCAAACAGACAATTTCTGTGCAGTATAAAATCAACTCACATTTAATCAAATCTTGGGCTATTTGATTTCTAAGCTTGTCAAAAGAATGTCAACTATGGTGGCAATCTTTCAGAGCACTATGAAAACCAAACTGATTTTGAAAACTATTGTGGGACATCAAAATGACTTACATTAAATGTCCAATACTGCTTGATCCATATTTGAACACATTAATAAGAATTATGCAACCTCATACATTTTTGTGATTAAATGAACACTTCCACTGTATAACCACTGAAATTTGTTATTTCGGAATTTCTTATTTTATGAAAATTCAACATACATTTTTTGCTATTGCAAAAGGTAGCAGTCTTCAGATCTGCCATATGTACACTTACTTAACATTTTCTTGCAATAAGAAAAACCACTCAACATTTAAAAATGTTAGAAAGCATATGCTTAAGTAGCACATATTAATTATCAGCTTAAATCAATCAAGATTACATTGTGTTCATTTAACAAGTTAGAGGGTAATTAACATGGATACATTATTATCCACCTCTTTTAGATGTTTACTTTAGAGAACAATAGTAGAAAATAAATCTATAATAAAAATTAAAAAGGTTATTGAAGAAATTTAAACAACAAAATAATATGATTCAGTTTTCTTTCTTTTCCTTAAAAACAATTTGGTAAAAGTAAACTGAAGTCAGCTAAATGTATATATTTTCAGTAATTGAAACATAATAGATACAGAGTCTGAGAGAATACAATATTCATTTTGCTGCAGAAGAACATTCATTGCATAACAATGAGATTTGCTAATGAAATCAACCATCAACCTGAAATACATATGTATTAAACCAAGAAGACCTCAGTGTCATTTTCTTTTTGCATCGTTTGTTCTTTCTTTCATTTTTTCTCGACCTTTTCACTATTTTTGTACTTCAAATTTAAGAACTTATTGATAAAGCAGTCAAGACTATAATATTATAGTGTGCTGCTTTTTATTCATCACATTTATTTTTAATGTAAATTCCAATGGTTCTGCTTCTAGCGGCAGTATTAATGTACCTTAAAAAAAAAAAAAATCTATGGATGCTACCAGAAGAGACAAAGGAAGTTCCTTTCTATAGACAATTCTGGATCAGATCTAAAAACATTTTATCAGCATTTGCCATAAATTCCATATGAAAACTTTTCCTGTGAGTGTTCATTTAATAAGAAATAATAAAATGATAATAAATGTATTTTAAAGTCACTTTTGTAATAATATAAATCCTCTAGCACTTTCTACTGCTGATAATTATTAATTAAAATAATGTAGGGATAATATAATAACTATCAACATAAAATTGTTCTAATTTTTTAAATAAAATCATATTTTCCTCAAAAACATGTTTTACTATCTTGGTCTTCAAATATTGATTTCCAATTTCCATTTATCAAAAATAAGTAATTCTGAGAACTTTCTTAAAGAATTATGACCAAGTTATAATTTTCTGTAAAAGCATAAAAGACTATCAATGTTTTTTATATTATTTAATTAAAGTTAAATATTAATATCACCCCCAATCAATTTATATCTGTTTGAGTATAAGCTATTTAATGACAGAACTAACTATCCTATTGGTTGTCTATTGACACATTTGGTTTTCAATTCCACCTGTGCTACAGTTGAAATAAACAGTCTAACCTTTATAGTATATAATTGCAACTAATTTGTGATAATAACAGTTTTACAAAAGAAAAAATAGTACTTATACCAACTAAAACAAAGTCAAACAGAAGACTGTTTCCTATTTTTATTTTTATAATATAAGTATGCCTTAAAACAATATCCTGCTAAAATAACAAAAAATTATGAATTCTAGTTCAGTTAGAAAAGTAAACCAAGTAATTAAGAGATTCCTTATTAAAGTTCCATTGACAATGTCATACCGGTCAAAGTTATAAAAATCTTGGGACTGGAGGTGTAGCTCAGTGGGAGAGCACTTGCCTAACATGCATGAGGCTCTGGGTTCTATGGGGTAGTGCATGAATGAAGGAATGAATGAATGAATGAAAATACTGAAGGATAACTTTAAGCAAAGAATCACATATCCTAGAGCAATCATTAATCCATAATCCACACATTTCCTTAAAACTTAGAAACTTCTATTAAAATGGTAAAATACAAATCAGAGTAGAGAATCAGTTTAAATAAATGTCTACAAGCAACCAAAAATCGACTTTTATTAGGACAATCTTAAAATTTTATTAGCAATCCTAAAATTGGAAGGTCATCTATATTCTTGCTACTCAAAGTGAAACATCAGCAATACTGAAATTATTTGTTAAAAATGTGAAATCTCAGGCCCAGTCCAGACAAACTGAATCAGAATCTTCTTTTATACATTACAGATGCTGTAACCTAAAAAATTCTTCAGCGTACTAAACATCTATACACCAATTCCAGTAATCTCTGATATTCTAACAACTTCTCAAAACTCCATATTAAAACACAGAATCTTCACTGGATACAGAGGC